CCTGACCGACCGACGAGACGACAAGTTGCTTGTCAGTCAGACCCGATCCAAACCCGCCTCCGCTTCTCCTACCCGACGCTTGCTGTTGCTCCCACCGCCGTAATTCTCGTCAAATATTGCCCGCTGCTTCCTGTTGCACGATCCGGTCAACGTCTTGTTACTGCAACCAGCCAAGCTTGGAAAGCCCACCGCTGTTGGCCTAGTGGCAGCTCCTACCCGCCCACTCGCGCCTCCTCCTCCTCCTCCATCCTACCATACTCGTCGCGGAACGGCTCTTGCGCTTCCCGTCGCTGGGAAACTGAGGCGCTCCTCTTCGTTTGTCGACATCAGCAGGATCCTCCGCTCTTCTGTCCCCCGCATGTCGATCCGGACGACGCAGCGCCCATCGCTGATTCCCGCTTCTCCGTCTTCGAGCCTCCCATAAAGAACGACTTCGGGTTTTCTTGACTCCTGCCGCCGCAGCCCCGGCTGTGGAGGCCCGGCAATTCGCGAACATGAACTTTGACTCGGGCACCGCCTACGCTGAGTCGGACGCCGACGACGAGTATGAGCGCGATATTCACGGAAGCTCCCCTATCGATCACACCGATGTCGAGCACTCGCCCATCGATTCTGGCCCCCCCTCGGCCGAACACACCCCTACAACATATGGCTACCGAAATAGTGCAGACAGACACATAGAAACTTTGATATCCGACTGGTCTGCCGACGACTGCGCCGACTTCATTGCTTCGATTGGGCTACAGCAATATGCAGATAGATTTATAGGTCCGTTGCGATTACATGAGCAAAAGGTTGCATATGGCCTTGACTCCCGCTAACTCCACGCACAGAAAACGAGATTGTGGGAGAGGCCCTGGTCGCGTTGCAACATGATGATCTCAAGTCGATGGGCATCAACAGTGTTGGCCACCGCTTGATGATTCTGAAGTCAGTTTACGATGTAAAGAAGGCTCAAGATGTTCCTATCGAGGACGACCATTACATGCCTCTCAGTACGTGTCGCGCCCCCTTACCTTGTGCAGTTTTCGCGTGCTAACATACCAAACTTGCAAAGCCGCCGCGACCGAAGCGCTATCGGCGAACGCCACCCTCAACGACATTAAGCATCTCGCTGAGCAGTTGCGTTTGAGAGACGAGCGCATGAGCCTCTTTGAGCAAGACCTGCGCCGGTTAACCGAAGACTTTAGGAGGTTACGGGAAGATATGCTACCGGCATTGCGACTCGCCAAGGATGCTCAGCAACCGCTACCAAGCGGACCGTCTTACGAATCAACTTTGTCACCGCCAGCTCCAGCCTCGTCGGCGGGTAGCCAGCCAAGTGCCGGCCTAAGTCGGCAATATTCTACCAAGAGGATCATGCTTGGGACAACGCCGAAAGCAGTCTCCCCTTCTCATCTTCAGACTTCCCACGGCCCGCCATACGACTCTTCTGCATCTAGTAGAGGTATGCTGTCGTCGTCTCATCTTGGCGCCATGAACGGGTCCAGTGCCAACACAACCTCCGGTGGTTATCCATCACCGAACATGCCATCGCCTACCTCTCCGCCCACCACCAACATGTCAGGCACTACCCTCGATCCGAGGTCTTATCGCGGTGATAACCAACCCCCATCATCAAGTCGGTCCACCTTTGGCGATAACGATCACTACGGTTCTCAAGACAAACAACCTGTGTCCGCTCCCCGCAGAGGACAGACGCCAGCACCTGATACCCCTGGTTCCGCGAGCAACGCGTCCGTCGAGATCTTCAAGTCATTCAGGGTCAGTATGGATGACCCATGCTATAAAGTTCTTCCGGCAGCGCTCAAAAAGTACCAAATCAACGCTCCGTGGGATCAATACGCTTTGTATATCGTATATGGCGATCAAGAACGGTGTCTGGGACTGGACGAAAAGCCCCTCATATTGTTCAAGCAGTTGGACAAGGAAGGGAAGAAGCCCATGTTTATGCTAAGGAAGACGAACAACGCTCCAGCTGAGGAACAACCCGGGAGCGCAGGACTATCGGCTGCGGCTCGCGGGGCGACGACCGTTTACGATCCACCGGGAGGTATCATATAAGCGAATACTGGGGCGGGAGCGAGACTGTGGTGATGCTGGGTACTGCCCATTCACTATCCGAGGCGAACCGCTGGGTGCCTTTCCGGGCTGCACAGCTTTTGCATAGCGTGACGGAGGATTATGCTGTGAAGGAAGCCCTGGCATAACTGGAGGTCCGTCGCTTGAGTGGAAATGTCTATGAGAAGAAGAGAAGGCTGAGTCGATGTTCAACGGTTCAGTGTCGCATGACCGGCGGCCAGTTTCGTCAGGTTAGCTCTTACCTGGGCTGGAATGGGCGGCTTGATAGCTGAGTTGGTGGAAAGGCAACCGCTGACATGGACTTCAATCTCCACATACACAGTTCCAAGAATATCTTGTGTATGGGAACGGTATACCAGTTAGCATTGCCTCTTTTGTTATCTTTCCTATTTAATTCACTGGTGAGCGGCATGGCAACGGGTTGGAGAAAATAGGCAACGGGGGGAACTGGGAGAAGGAGGTGAATTTGGTGAACTCAATCCCATCCGAAAGCGTCGTCCACAATTTTCGAGAACAACATGTTTCGGTATCAACGTGCTTGGAACTCATCTGGTCTGGTTGATTGAAGAAACGCCGAGGAAGAGGAGGAGGACATCAAAGAGGAGAGGAGCCGGGGAAGGGATGGGGGTCAAGTGGTGGTTAAGAAAACTTTCGAACTTCTTGTGTTATTTATTTATCATTTAGAGTGAAGAGAATTACCAACTTTGGTGCTTGAACACTTTCCAGAACTGTGGGATTTATATGCTGGTGATTGCCGTCGCCCCAACATCTTCCACATCTGTCATGTCAAAAGACACATTGTCGAGACCAAGAAGCTCAGATAGTATTCGTCAGAACGACCAGGACATCCATATCTCTAAATTATGAAATTGACATAAAGCAAGTTTTCGCTACTTTTACGCAACCATATACCTATGCTGGAAAATGTGAATTACGTCCCATCAGATATTTCCATCACCTACACCACCCAACAACTCAAAGCCCTCAAAAGACCCAGGCTAGTCAAAGCGCATTCCCAGCCTTGATAAAGAGGCTGAAAATCGCTCCCAACCCCGCCATCCACGCAAGACTTCTCACAGGCGCAAACTTGCGGTTATCCTGCAAGAAGACATAAACAAAGTTGTACACCAGCCTGGTGCCAAGGTAAAAGAGCGAGAGCTTGTTGACCGTCTCCACGGGCAACTTGGCGGCGTTGGCGGCCACGACGCCGGCGGCATAAAGCCCAATGGTCTCGAGCCCGTTGTTGGCGGCCGCCTTGGCGCGCAGGATGCGGTTTACCTGCTGTTTGGAGAGGGTGGTGTCCTTGGCGAGGTGTTCCTCTGTTTTGCGGGGGCTGTAAGGAGGAAAAAGAGTGAGTTTAGTGGTTCGTTGTCGTGAAGTTAAATGTTGTAGTGTATACGGAGGGGACTGGGAATGAGATGATGGAGGGACGGGACGGGAACTTACTTGGCCAAGTCATAGTTCTTGCCGGCAGCCATGCTGGCGTAGAAGTTGGGGAGGAGGGCGAGCACAAAGGCCACGGGGACCTGGTAGCTTGTGTCAGAGTGATTTTGTTTCGTCGAGATTGATGATTTGGGTTTTCTTCATTCCAAGGTACGTCATCTGCCTCAAGAAACCGAAGCGTGAAGGGAACCGTACATCGATTTCTCTTCACATGTTATGAGACAAGGTAGGTACATACCGAATGGAGAGACCAGTTGGACGAAAGATCAAGAAAGGGAGCCATTGTGATTGGAGTTAGTGGTCAAGTAATTTCGAATGGGAGTTTTTGAAGTATTCTATTGCTTTTCAAAGTGCGATGCAGTGACGTACGCCAAATAAGCTCGGGTATAAGGACAGAGGCACTTTTATATCACACTTGCAGTGAGGAGGGGTCCACGATCGAACAGCTCCTTCGATGACGGATGAAGCTTGTGTGGGGGTGACAGGGGTACATGGAAGGGGAACTTCCTAGGGAAGAAGGATCGATCCACTCGGTGCCCCATGCCCCTGTGGTCCAAAAGTCTGTAGCCATTCCTCCCGCCCCATGCGCCTCATGAGCCACTCCATAGGTATCCACCGAGTACCCCTAAGATCAGTAAACAGAAATCGTAGGCGCTATGCTGAAACATTTGCCTGATGCAGAGTCTCTTTCCTAAATTAGTCCTTGAAGGATTGCGCGGGGCCAAGCCTGCTATGATGCTAGATGGAGACGTATCTGACAGGCGCGGATGTTTGCGAAACCAGAGTTCCAGGAATAAGTATCACATAAAGGATTTGATGGACTCGACGGTACCAACTATCAACAGGCGAGATGCATCAAGACATTTGGATTACTGAACAGGTTTGAGTGGGACACAGTCTCGATCGCGATAAAGCATATCAGCCTCCTGATATGGCAGTTGTCCCGAGAAACATCATTTCCGCTTCCAGTTCTCTCTTTGCAAAGTCTCTTGAACCGAATCCGCTTTTATTTCTCTACCAACAAACAAATTTTGAAAACATACGCGGCGTGGCGTGTCCCTCTTGGATATAAGCCTGGGGAGATAGATACGCATCGACTTCACCGAACGTCCTCTCTTCTGCCCTCTCCTCATTCTGTAGCTTCCCCATCTTGTCATCGACCTTTCTCCCCCCCTCCGCCCTTCCTTCTTTTCTTGCTTCGCCCATCTCCTTCTATCCCTTGTGATAGAATAGGTATCCGTACGTTCCATGTCTGTGAGGAAAATGATGCGCCCATGTAAAAAGAAAAGGCATGGAAAAGAACACCCATTTGGTAATACCTATAACCCCTTTCTGAATTTGCGCAAACGTAGATGTGAGCAAAGTAGAAGAAAACCCAGGTAAATTTGCGGCGAGAATGCTCTTACTACAATGGAGGACATTGCCTATCCAAAGCAGGGACTAGATCGCGCGTAGGGTGATTGAATCGTGTGATCGCTTGTGACTCCTTTGAGAGTGGAATGATTCTCTTCGAAGTCATTGGGCCGGCAAAACGTGAGTAGGGCAACATGAAGCCATGCACCATGCTTTTCGGAAGAGGCTTTCCGGCGATCGTGAAAAGCTGACGGGATGTCGTCGAGTGTACAATTAGTAGGCACGGTTGGTGCCACGACGATTCTTGCTGGGGACAGTGACTTTCGTCCAGCCGTCATCTTCCTCGGCGGCGGCGGGAGTAGCGGGAGCCTGCTCCGCACCGGCAGCCGGGGTAGCCTGGGCGGGCTGGGAGGCGGGGGCACCGCCGTTCGCACGAGGGCCGCGGCCAGAGTCGCTGCGAGGAGCGCGAGAAGCGCGATCAGCGGGGACACGGTCGTTGCGGCGAGGCCCACCAGGAGCGGCACCACCACGAGGTTCCCTAGGAGCAGAGCGCCAGTTACCGCTCTCGGTGGCTCTAGTCTTAGGGGCCTCGCGGGGCTCACGGGCCTTGACGGGGAGCTTCTGATCGGCAGCTACACCGTTGGCAGGAGCAGCACCGGGGGACTTGACCTCCTCCTCAGCAGCGGGGGCGGGGGCCTCAACGGGCTTCTCAGCCTCAGCCTTCGCGGCCGCGGCATCCGCTTCAGCCTTCTCAGCCTCGGCCTTAGCAGCGGCCTCTTTAGCAAGACGCTTCTCCTCCTTAGCCTTCTCGTCGGCCTCCTTCTTCTCCTTGAGGGCCTGAAGGCGCTTCTCCTCGATCTCGCGTTCGCGGGCGGCAGTATCGATGGGGCGAGCGGCACCGAAGGGGCTGGCCTTCGAGTCAGTCGAAGCGGTCGATCCGGCCTCGGGGGCTTCTGAAACGGTTCTCTTGGCGAGGTTCAGCTTAGGGCGACCGACAGGAAGAGCAGCCGAGGGCGCCGGAGAGTTGGGGACGCTTCCTTCACGAGACTCGGTAGCAGGGCGCATGCTGTTGCGCCATTGGTTGTCCTTCTCAGCGGCAGTGGGAGCGCGCTCGGGACGGTCGCCAAACTCGCGGCGAGGAGGACGGGAAGTATCTTGACGACCCTCACCAGGGCCCCAAGCAGCGGGGGAAGCCCTCCTATCATTGCGGAAAGACTCGCCACGGGCCTCAAGGGGACGCGAGCGAGAGGAATCTCTGATTTGCTCAGTGGGCTCCGCGGGGGGGAGGGGACCACGTCTTTCCCAGTTGCCGAAATCGCGAACCTTGCCATCGTCGGCAGGGGCAAACTCTCTGGGGGCTCTACGCTCGCCAAAGTCACGTTGGGGGCGGTCACGTCCGGGCAAGTCGGGAAGGGGTCCTCTGCGCTCCCAGGTGGGGAGATCACGGCTCGACTCAGCCCTGTCGCTGTATCCCTGCTTGGCTGCGAGGCTGTCAATAACACAATCAGACATAGGACTGATATATGGGAACACATACGGGGATCGGCAATCTTGATGCGGATGCTACGACCGTCAAAGGTCTCTCCATCACGGGTCAAGGCAGTCTTGAGACCCTCGACATCCTTGAACTCGGCATAGGCAAAACCCTTGGGGCGCTGAGTCTCGCGGTCCTCGATGATGCGGACATTCACGACATCGCAGCCCTCAAAGAACTCGGTAACGGACTCGGCGGTCGCATTGTATGAAAGGTTACCGAGATGAGCGGTGAAAGGGGGCCTGGTAGGAAGCTGGGCCGGGCTAATGTTGTCGCGGAGGGAGGAATAACCTGTCATAACTCCAAGGTCAACACAGGGGCAAGCCGGCTAGTTGTTGGAAGGTTGACCTACCGCGGTCAGCAAACGAAGAGCCTCCACCATAGGTGGAAGGGCCGCGACGCTCAGCGGGAGGGAGAGGTTGAGTGCCGGAGGCTAGACTGTATGTTAACCAAACAATATCAAAGGACGACGGAGGCGGCGTTACTTACCATAGGTGTCCTCGACCTCATCAGCCCAAGAGCCGCCGAAAGCTGTACGATATGTCAGTCGTAGGTCTCATTAAGCGACAGGAACGGGATTGACATGACCACCCTGCTAGGCGGGCTGGTGCCTTGGCGTGGAGGGGGAGGGGTCAACTCACAGGGTTCGTTCAAAAATTCGCCCAGAGAAAGCTTCTGGACTTCCTTCTTCTTGGGAGCTGTTGCAAACCCGAATCAGCATGTGACGCCAGCGAGAAGACGGTGGGACGGTAGGGTCGGAGGGGCGCGAGGTATGGTAGGTTGGGTTTGGAAAGTGGTCGACGAAGTCATGGCGACAGTGACGGTGATGATGATGATGTCGTCAACGATGGTGGTGCTCACCCATGATTGCGGTTTTTTGAAAAGCCTACGTCGCGACAGACGATGGTCGCAAGCGTAGACGAGGGGGGGTGGTTTGCCGGAGAGGAGTATTCTAGCCGGCGGGTTGATGGTAATGACCTCGAGGTGATCCGAGAGCGATGGAGGAGGAGTGTCGAGTACCGTTGAGAGGACGCAGCTGGTGGTACCGACAAAGTGGAAGGGAAGGACGAATGGTAGACGAGGATGGGGGTCGCCGTTGGTTCCGTCGTGATTTCCCAAGTGGGTTCGAGATTCGGCGTTGCGGGCAGGACGACAAAAAAATTCGTCTTTTGATAGAAGGTGGAATCCAGTGGAGGGTTAACATTTTTTTGCTCGGCATTGAGTGGGCAGGTGGGCTGCGTGGGGCGTGGGCGCTGGTGGCCTGGTGGGTGAATGTGGGAAAGTGCGTGCGGTGCAATGGCTGCGCTAGTTCGCATGTGGCTTAGCGCGAGTTTACTTACGCACCTCCACCTTCTCGACGGGACTTTAAAGTTGCGCGCTAGCAGAAGGATTCAGTGGTGTTCTTGCAGCGCAGAGAGCCCTGGTGCCGCTTTTGGTGCTGCCCGCATCGACCTTCCATTCCTTTCGCACCCCTCTTTGCGGGCCGTCATTCTGGGCTCCCCCGCTATCGCTACCCGGTGCCTTCCACTTCACTGTTGCTGCGCATGGCCTCCCGATCCCTTCTCCAACGAAAGCCCGTCAAATAGTATAACTCCAGTCCCATCTCGCCTTTCAAATGGTTGAGGAAACCAAGGCTGGATTCAGGTAACGAATAACCCAGAGCAGTACTAGGTACCTTACCAAATGCGCTCTGAGTGGGAAGCCCAACTCTTTGTATGGTTTAGTTCACGGGGCGCATCTGACAGGTTTAAGCCATCATCCGAGGTTCACAGCACTCGGCAGATCAGACTATTTAGAGAAACGGACTCGAGGAGTCCCGTCCACAGCTGGAAATGAAGAGGACCGAGTCTCCTGTCCTCAACAAGGTGTTGAGTGACAACGTAAACAGTGCACAGATGCCGACTCTTTCAGATGATGCGCCCAGTGAAAAGATGGGTGATCAGGTTCCTTCCTTCTCTTACAAACGGCCGAATCCAGTCCTTGGCCCTGCGTTGAAACTTGGAGTCGGTGTGGGTGAGTTAAAACCCAAAGCTACTTGACTTTTCTTACAGCCGATGGACTGACACTGCGGGCTTAGGAACTCTGGGTCTCCTTACCGGAGCTGCAGCCGGCATCATTCGTTCAGCGCCCCCAGGATTATATGCAGCTACAACTGGTATTCAGTGGTTTGTCCTGAGTTCCAGTTTCTGGGGTGCGTATGCTGTGCCCTTGAGCGTACAATGCCATGTAAGCTATGGTACTAACCTTCTCCAGGTGCTCGTCAGTTTGCTCTTAATTCTTTGGCAAACGGCACCGATTCTTCCCCTTCGAGCAACAATCTCATAGCAACTAGCTCTGCTGGTGCATTTTCGGGAGCCACGGCGGGCTTACTTCGTAAGTTGAACAGTAGAGGTATCCCGAGGTGCGGCAACCGAGCTAACATATATGGCAGGCGGACCGAGAAACATCCTACCGGGTGCAGTCGTCTTTTCACTGCTCGGTCTGGGTGGCGCGGCTCTTCAGAACAGAATCAAGTCGAAAGAGCAGTCTGAGAGTTGGTTCCGCAAAGTTATTGACGGGAAATGGAGCCCTATCACCCGGATTACTAACCAGGATTGGGAAAGGATACTTGAGGAGAAGCTGCTGCGAGTCGAGACAGAAATTGCCGTCTTGGATGACTCGATCGAAGAACTACGCAAGAACGAAAGGCAGACCTAGTTGACTGTGGTGCGCTTTGTACCATTGAGGATGTTTGTAGAACCAACGGCTATGATAGCGCATAGCCATGCCCACCAGCAGCTGAGCTTTTTGACGACGTCCTGTTCACGAGGTCAGATTTTTCGCACGCTTCGAGAGGACGTGATTGTTTTCTCTCCATGAACCCCTTATCCTGTGTCCGTGTTTATGTGGTCCAAGCTTTCAGGGGGAGTTCTTGGCATTTGGGGATTTCCACCGAGGTAACCTTCTGCAACATAGATTTAAGACTCCCCGGAATATGTAAGTCGCCTTGAGCACAAGGAGCATAGACATCCTCCGTTACGATGTTTTGGTTATGTTTATGGCGTACGCGCAGTGCGTTGACAACGGTCTCGGAACTAGACCAGCAACACTTCGAATTTGGCGGGAGTGAAGCGGGAAGCGAACGAGGTGTAATTATTTAGTGGATCACGCTCCAATACAAAAGTCAGCGAACCCGTCGGCAAACGGATGGAGTTCTACTCAAGCAGCAAACCAGGAAGCCCCGGTCTTTGGGCAATAAACCTTTCCAAAAAGACGATTTTTCAAGCAGTATTTATCGAGCAACAACGGGTGTTTCATCAGAGCGAAGTAAGGAAACAACAAACCATGAAAATCCCAGCGGCTGTGATGTCAGTTTAGTTAAGCTTTTTAGTAGTGAGCCAAGCTCCATGGTGGCACGAATTGGATACGGACGATCATGAGGAAAAGGGGTATATACATGGGATGTCGTCGTGCGGTGGGCGTGAGGCTGGTGGCTCACTCGAAATAGAATTGGAGAAAGGTATCGAATCAATGAAGGTTGTCTCTGGGCAGGGGACCTGATGAAAGAGAGGTGACGTTCTTGGTGTTCCAATGGATGAAAAACCTCCGGGAAGCGGTTCCAACTCCAGCGGAGCATCAGGCATCATCCTTGCCTAAAGAAGCTTAGTGCAGAGATCTCGTCTGTTGCTTGAAGCGTGCTCGCGTGCATTCGGGGCATTCTTGGCACGAGAGCAGCGCAGAGAGGAGCTGTGGGAAATGATGGGTTGAAGTCACATTCGGGCAGCTCATCCGAGCTGGGAATTTGTGCACATTTGTACAGTACTATAGGCAGAGGTAAAATGGCGGTAGCAGATGGCAGTAGGTATAAGCTGAGGAAGGAAGACAGATGCCGTGGCTGCCTTTATCAAACGGGCGGAAACATCAAATGCCCCACTATCGAGACTTCCACTTTGGGGCACCCACAGTGCTGGGACCCGGACCCGACCTGGGCTCGCCCGGCTCTCCGTCGATTTGAAAGCGGGAACTTAGGTTGTCACGCCTCCGGGCCAGGCCTCCCTCGCCATCCAATTCCAACGAGCCCAAGCAGGCGGTCAAGCAAATAAAGGAAGGGACGGGCAGCGGGCTTGACGGGAGCTCCAGGGCAGGGCTGCAGTCATCAGTTCAGGGCATCTCACCTCGTCGGTTGCCACTCATTGGATCGTCCCTCATTACGAGCGGAATGGCGAATGGCGATGCGCTAGTGCAAAAGACCGTGGAATTCAGGAGTCGCGGAAATTCACTTGGCTGGCTCAATACATAGCCGGACAGCGCGGTGGATTTGGTGGAATCGGTAGAATCGGTGGAAGCTGTGGAATGCCTGTGGAATGAAGTGGGGATCCATCTCGTCAATTTCCCTCCTGAGTTCGGGCAGGTCAACCCAAGCCAGCCGGAAGCCAACCAGATTCAACTAGTCAGGGACACTTTACACTACTATTCGTACGCCTGTCTCTTTTTTTCCCTTTTTTCCGTTCTCAGAACCCATCCTCGAGCACCTGCTATTCTGCCTGTCTATCTTTTGTAACACCACGTTGCTCTTCGCCGGCAGTATCAGCAGCATCACCTAATCTATCCCCCATTCAGCCAGCCATCATTAACATTGCCCTTCGAATCAAGCAGCCTCACAGTGTGCGCGCCCCCTTCAAGGAGTACTGCCAAGTTTTAGTGAGTAACGTACCTCAGCCGGGCCAGGTACCTTTGTACAGGTAGCTTCCCTTCACAGTCGCAGACAAACGACAGCGTAGCTCTGTAATTACGTCTTCGACTCGACGGTCACCCTACGGATTTGAGTACCTGTCCGTCTACCATCCGAACAGCTACACTAACCACTTTGTCCCGTACAGCACGACAGCACGGCCGACAGCACCGTAACATCACAACTCCAAATCTCCATTATCTTGACTACCTCTACGGCCAGCGGCACGGCCGGGCGCATTTCATGCTCGACACTCGATAGTCAACCAACCTAACCCGATTCCGTACCGTTCGAACATGGCATGCTTGACCAATACATTGCGCGACTAAGAAAGAATCCTAGGCCGGCTACGCGCCTGGCGCTGCATCGACAATGGCACTGCTTAATCCCACATTCATCTTCGGCATCTTCGTCCTTCTATACCTATCCTCCTTCATAATATTCGCCGTTGTTCGCATCCTTACCGGCCTCTCGATCCAGCGCATTGGCTATTTTTCCCTCCGACGACTCGCCTACACACCAAAAGATGGCATCAAGATTGAGATTCGTGGCCTGGGCCTCAATGTCCATCGTCCGACATTTGCCCAACCGACTTGGCTCAGTCTAGTGGTGGACGAGTTGGCCGTCACCGTGGATGTCAAGGAAGTAGAAAAGAGCAAGACCAAGCACGTTACAGGAAAACCACAGGGCGACACCTCCGACAACACGAAGCCAGGAGAAAAGGGGGAGACGGAACCGCTGCTTCCAACACCGCCACAGGTGCCTGGCATCAAAGCCGACACGAGTGCGGAGGGTCAGGGCAAGACTTGGAAACAGTTGACAAAGTTGAAAGAGAAGATTAAACGGCTGCATCGGAGCCTGGATTATCTGCATATGGTCGATATCGTCGCGACCAGCTCGACCCTTACTGTTACCGATGTTGGCAGCGTACAGATTGGAAGCTTTACCCTTGCCGTGGACACCCGAGACAAGATGGTAGATCGCGCCCGCTTCTTCCTCCAGAGCAGGTCGGATCAGCCAGGAGAACAACGACAGGCCGAGTGGATCATCACCATACGAAGCGTACTATTTACTGCCCATGGGCGGCAGGCCACCGAAATCCTCGACGGGGCCAGTTTCAATGTTCATGGTTTCCTATATGGAACGCAAGACGGTCTCCGAGATGCCGCTGTAGGTCTCAAGTTGGGCCGTCTTCACATTCCCTATGACGATGTGCAGCACAGCGCCTTGCTTTATAAGAAGATCAAGGAACTTGCCGAACAGGTCGTCGGGGTCCAACCCAAACCATTTGATGAGTTTGTCGAAAAGGTCATGCAGGAAATCGACGTTCCCGGGAGTACGAACCGGGAGTTAATGCAAACCGTCTCCGATTCAAAGGAGCTTGTAAGCTCCGTCCTCAGGGGCGTAAAGGAGGTCCAGTTTGCCGTCAGTTTCATCGGCCTCACCAAGAAAATCGAGAGTGTTAAGGCTGGTGGGACTCCTGT